CGCTATGAATGGTTATACAATAACCCAACCGCCAATCTCGGTGGGAGGTTATTTTTTCCACCTTTTCTACTGGCACCCAGGCTTTGTCATGCGTTACCGCGCTTTGCAGTTGAATATTGGTGCCTGGCACGCAAACGTCTTTCCTCTGCATGCGGGTGTCGTGGGGTTTGTAACAGACGGGTACCAAATGCCCCGGGAAGCGTTCTTGGTGTACTCTGAATAGATCTTTTTGTATTCGGGATTGTGCTGCGCGCTTGCTACTCAATACCAAATCCCCCGGATGCCATGCAAGTAGGAAGTCGTCGTAAGACTTTGCCCTTACACGTTTACGGAGAGTCTTGCATAGCTCGGCGTCTGTAAGACCCCTCAGTTCCGCTTTCAGCTTGCGTACTTGATCCTTGATGCGGTAATCTGTATCAACGTACTCAGAATAGTTTACGAGTTCTAATAACTATTCGTGTGGCATTTCTCCAGCTATTGGAGGAGGCTGGCAAGGATCTCCGGCAAATATTACCTGACATTTCCCGCGGAGGAAGTCTACGAACTCCTTCAGGATTTCTAAAGCCACAGTACAAATTTCATCCCAAAGTATCACCGGAGGAATGTCGTGGATTGCTTCCGGTACCCATTTTTGGCCATTCCAACGGAAGAAGCTGTAGTACGTTTGAGCGTCGTGACCCATTTCTTGCAGTTCCCTTTCCAAACGATGCGTCGGCGTTAACACTTTTATCTTAGGAAAGAGTTCCAAAACACGCGTCGTCTTACCGCTGCCTCCGGTACCGTACAGATAGGAGAAGCGTTGGTAGGAAATGGGGTCGGCTACGGATGGTAAAGGTTCCTCAGTTGGTTCCACGCTACCGCGGAGGTGTTCTCCGTGATATTCTACACGTTCTCTCCAAGCTTTTATCTCCTCATCTTTGACGCGCCATTGACCACTTTCCGCCAACTCATCTTCGGTGTAAATACTCTTTCATCCTCTCCAGAACACATGGTTTCACATACAAAGAATCCGTAGCTACGCGTGGTACTTCCTCTTTGTCAAACCGCAGGAGCATTGCGAGGAGATTAATATGCGCGTAAGAGAGCATGCTGGCACGCAGATGGTAATACTGTGGTCGATGGTCTTGGTAGTAACATAAAGCATTCCATTTACGAGTCTGCTCACCTTCTACTAAGTAGTCCCACTTCTCCACAGATACCATCGTTCCCTGGTCATGGGCAAGTTTGATGAGGAAACTTAGTTCGCCTTCGTCCGTTATTAAACGTCGCTGCATGTGTTTTTCACCTTCCTTAGCGCCTTGGGTGAATTTACCTATGATAACACGCGCTGTGGGGTTGTGCTCCGGTAACCACTTGGTAAAGGTGGAATGACATAGTATGGCTTCGTGTGCGGTGTATGTGAGAAGTTGGCGCTCTTCGAGGAATTTGAGAAGGGGTACGGGTATCCATTGCTTTTCCTGGAGATGTTTGGCATACCACGCGTAAATTATTGGATGTAAGTCCTTCGCTAACTTCCACGTGGTTAGCCTAACGAACCCCGTAGCTGGGGCGTCGTAGTGACCTGGTAAAGATACGCGGAAGAATTGCGAGTCTGGATGCCCGTAACGGTCGTAATACTCCTTACAATCGCCAAGGCCTTTGAAAGATGCGGGGTAACAATGTTTCATGTCTAAGGAAACATACTCATCTTCGTAGTATTCCATATTCCATAAACCTCCGTGACCGTGTTCCACGAATGCTTTGGCTATATCTCCGAACTCTTTTGGGGTTGGTTTCCAGCCATTTCTTTTCTTTGCGGCTAGAAAGTCTAAGCTACGGGAGCTAAGAACTTCGTCTGAGACGTCTTCCCCTAATGTCTCACAAGCGCTCTGAATGCGTTGATGTTCCACTTCAGGACGATA